GGAAGCAACTTGGAAACAAAGGAAATGATACAATGAAATGCATGCACAAGACCCCAAATAAACACACAAGTGATCGGCAAAGACATCCCAGAATACTGAAGGTAAGGTGAGGGCTATTGTCTTTTATCCTTATTTCTTGCATTCATTTATCTAGCAAATACTGACTGAGCACCCACTATGATTTTAGGCTCCGTTCTAGCCACTGGGGTTACTATGGGTAGGGGCAGGGAAAAAACCACCACCATATAAAAATCTTCACTCTTGGACTTTTCATTTGTCAGTAATTATTTACTGATTGTCTAAGAGGCGCTAGTGCTGAAACAGTTGCCATCATGTTAACATTTTTCATAGGACATAACATGGCATTCAGTGGTTAAGAGCAAGGTGATGATAAAAATAGAGCAGCAGCGCCAAGCGCTCTTTAGAACATGCTGCCAAAGGGATGCAGTTCACTGCCACGCTCTACTTTGGCATGTGTGAAAAAAGAACGGTGGAAAGGAAAGCAGTCAGGTTGTACTCTACTGACAAGCAATTAGTTGATTTGATCCTAGTAAGACTTTTCTGAATTATTTGTGACTAATGAAATATATAAGGAGCTCTGATGGCGTACAGGAAATCATTTTAATCTATATCCCAAAAAAGAGTGAGAAGAGACTTTCCACTTCAAAAGATGACAAGAAATAAACCTTTCTTTAGAAATTAGTAAAATATGAGACACTATGACTAATTTCTCCTAAATCCAATTTTTTAAATAATGAATTCAATTCTTTGTAGAAATTGACCCATCTGGGAACTAACGTGTAATCATAAAATTTAATTAGTATTACCTCAAAGTATCTCACAAACCTCAAATAATTCTCTTTTATGTCCTATATGGTGAGGAATGGGAGCTCTGGTAGCATAGTGTCTAAGGCACTTGACTGCTAACCAGAAGGCTTGTAGTTCAAACCCACCAGCCACTCCTTGGAAGGAAGGTTGGGCAATCTACTTTTGTAGTGATACTGCCTAGGAAACCCAAGGAGGGGTCGCTTATGAGTCGGGTCTGACTTGATAGCACATAACAACAACAACAACAACATAGTGAGGAATGGTGGCCCATACGGCCTTCAACATGTGCCCACATGGGGTTGCCATAGTCAAAATCAACTTAATGGCAACTGGTTCAGGTTTTTGTTTGTTTATCCAAAAAAAAAAAAAAAAGCAAAACAAAACCTGTTGCTGTTGAGTCAACTCCAACTCACAGCTACCCTATAGGACAGAGTAGAACTGCCTACTGGGTTTCCAAGGCTGTAAACTTCATGGAAGTAGACATCTTTTTCCTGTGGAGCAGCTCGTGGGGTTTGGACCACTGATCTTTCAGTTAGCAGTCGAGCCCTTAACTACAGCACTGCCAGGGCTGTTTCCGTTGCCTTATAGTGAGGGATAAATGTAACATAGTTTATTGACATTCAAAATATTAACAGCATTTTTAATAAAAGTTCTACTAAAAATTGTTTATGTAACTGAAATTGCCAATTAGCTTCACAAAATTTTAAAAACTGTTAGCAGGTGGCTGTCAACTATAATGCACGCAGTGGGCTTACTCCAGTTGTTCAGATTTTAAAGAATAAAAATTCAGAGAACCACTTATTTTCCAAGAACAAAAGGACAACAGAATCTGATGTGTTCAGGGAGGTGATGGACTGCAGAACCCAATCAGGGCAGTGTTCCACGGGATTTCAATACAACAGCAAGTCCTTTCTCCATGGTTCACACAGGATTCGGGGAATCATTTGTATTTCTAAAGCCCTAACTACAAATTTCTTTGTGAATGAACTCAGCTGTATTTCAGAGGTGTAGTAAAAACAAATCAGGATAGCTAGAGATAGATTATCACTGCATTACAAACATTTGCACCCACTCTTTCTATATACTGCACAGCCTCTGGCAGTTGTAAACACTACAAAAGATTTGCCATACTGTGCAATGAATAATATGAAGCCATAGGAGTAAGAGATACTTGTCTGTTGTTTCTGGAGCTTCATGAATTCACACATTCATTAACATTAAATATTATATTGTGAATTCTATGGGAAAAATTATTTTTAAAAAAGAACGTATTTGAAAAAATTCCAAACAGATAAACAAATAACAAGAGAACATGTTCTTATACCTAACATTATTGCTCAAGGCAACACTAATTAAGCTGGGTAATTAAAGTAAAAGTTATACCTATCACATATTTTCTCTAACTTTATTCCTCAAATAAAAACAAAATGCTACTGAGTATCAATGCACAACTTCCTGGGAGTCTCAAAGTTCAAAAAGGGGAACTAGAAACTCCAGCATCTTTTTTCTTATGTTCCTGCACATTTTTGACTGAAAGTGAAGAATATTTCCACTTGCCATTTTCAAACACAAGCACCAATTCATTACCACTCCCTACACACTAACTCGGGAGCTCTGGTAGCATAGTGGCTAAGACACTTGCCTGCTAACCAGACGGCTGGCGGTTCAAACCCACCAGCCACTCCTCGGAAGGAAGGTTGGGCAATCCTACTTCCGTAGTGATACTGCCTCGGAAACCCAAGGAGGGGTCGCTATGAGTCGGGGCCGACTCGACGGCACATAACAACAACAACAACACACTAACTCAAATCTCCTAAAAATCAAACCCATTACCAGTGAGTTGATTCCAACTCACAGCAACCGTCTATGACACAGTAGAACTGCCCCATAGGGTTACTGAGGCTCTCATCTTTATGGCAATAGACTGCCACATGTTTCTTCTGTGGAACAGGTGGTAGGTTTGAACCTCTGACCTTATAGTTGGCAGTTGAGTGCTTTAACCACTGTGCCACCAAGGTGCTTTCTAAGGCACTTGACTGCTAACCAGAAGGCTGGCGGTTCAAACCCATCAGCTACTCCTTGGAAGGAAGGTTGGGCAATCCTACTTCTGTAGTGATACTGCCTTGGAAACCCAAGGAGGGGTCTCTGAGTCGGGGCCGACTTGACGGCACATAACAACAACAACACAATAGTATACAGTAAATCAGTCTTTCTATACAACCACAGGAGCTCTGGTGGTGTAGTGTCTAAGGCATCTGACTGTTAACCAGAAGGTTGGCAGTTCAAATCCACCAGCTACTTCTTGGAAGGAAGGTTGGGCAATCTACTTCTGTAGTGATACTGCCTTGGAAATCCAAGGAGGGGTTGCTATGAGTTGAAATCGACTCAACGGCAGTGAGCTTTTTTTAGTATATGATCACAGAGTCACATCAACACAAATGGGATATACTTATCAAAGATATAAAAGAATGACATATTGAATACAATTTTTTATTATCAGCTTGAAATACATATTGAATACAATTTTTCAGAAAAGGGGAAAATAATCACATGCCTTCGAATGCTTTATGAAAAAGAGCAAAAATATATAATGTGACTTTAAAATTTACATCTATTTCACCAAAATTGCAGGCATTCTCCAAGTTGGCTAGCCTATTTTCATTGCCAAGAAACTTTCCTTTAGGAAAAAAACAAGACAAAACACCTCATCTAAAAAGATATGTGTAAGAAAGGAAGTATCTAGAGCTATTTTGGGATATTACCTTTAAATATTTGAAAATTTTAATATTTAAAAAGCATATTAATACTTATTAATCTCTAGGCTCAATTATTTTATACAATTTCATTACTTATTATCTCATTCTCTCCCAACTACCTATTTTCATGCAAAACTCACTTGTTTAAACTATAGTTAACATAATTTCCATGAGCTGAATGTTTTTAGTTTATTGAAAAGGTAATGATATTTTATTTGATATGACTCCAATTTTGGATTTTCCCATCACAAGAAATGGGGAAGAATCAACTAGTTGTAATAATTTCACTCCAAAGTTTAAGCGTAGACTATCAGTTGGGAGAAAAAAGTTCTTAATTCTTCCTAAATACCTGTGAATTTAGTACATCTCTCTAAGATATATCATGCATGTAAGTCATAGGTCTGTTGACTCTTCTCCATATATTCCATAATTACTATAACAAAGTAATTGTTCATCTACATTTCCACTGATTCCCCAAATTTGAGAGTCGCTGAAAGTGGTTTCACAAAACCATCCTCACTCTTCTTACACTTCCCAGTGTCCTAGTGATGCTGGATCTGCTCACAACTCAGAAGTATCAAGAAGCGGTAACAGGGAGTCTGCTTTACCTCAATTAGTAGTAACTGATGGCTGATCTATGGGCTCATTCCTTCTTCTGGCCCATTTTCATTTCTTTTTAGGTCTGAGCTCATTTTGAGCTCACCTTCCCACCTTCCATAGTCTTACTGTTAAAGAGATCATTTTCAAGCAATTTACTATTGAGTGTGGCATGACGCATCGTTTTTGCACTTAACATGACTAGTTATACAAATAGCCATGACTGTTCAACTGTCTCAAAGAGGTGCAGATATTAATTACCTGCTTCATAGTGAAAATATATGTATCAAACTACACATTTTGAAATATTTAAGTTTTCATTGACTACATTTTATAAATAAATGGTAGTGTTTTATTAACATAATAATGTTTTAACCAGTACACCAAAACAGTACAATAACCTAGAAAAGCAGTATATGGGGGGGGGGCTCTTCTTTTTCAGATAGGAGCCCTGGTGACATAGTGGTTAAGGCACGTGGCTGCTAACCAGTCAGTGGTTCTAACCCACCAGCCACTCCATGGGAGAAAGATGAGTCAGTCAGCTTCCATAAAGATTACAGCCTTGAAAACCCCATGGGGCAATTCTACTCTTTCCTACATGGTCACTATGAGTTAGAATCCACTTGATGGCAGTGGGTTTGGTTTGGTTTATTTTCAGATATCCCACTGTACAAAATAGCCATACAGAGATCATAAGGGACTGAGAAAAGAAGGTTAAGAAGCAAAATAAATAAGTAAATAAACAAAACAAGCATTTAGAGGCAAGCAACACATGCAGAACAAGCAAGAGACTAGTTACATGAAGAAGAGGCAACTTACATGGCTGTTGAGGAGAGAGCTTCTGTGGGTAGACAGACCGTCAGACTTTTGCAGCGTCTCAATCGCCATTTCAATCTGATAATAGATGTCATTAGAAAAAGGGCTCAAGACAAGATAGTAATAAAAGGCTGACCAGAGAAATTCTGATAGATTCTTTAAAGCTTAATTCCCTCTTCAAGGGTGGCTAACCAATAGTGCTCCTAAAATGTGTGTTTCTCCCAGTCCCCACACCCCGCCACCAGAAAATAAAATAAAAATATGCATACTAACAATAAGCTCCATAACAAAAGTAAACCTTTTTGAACACTCTGCAATTATATTCAGAATGGGGAGGCCTGAAAGAGAGTAGGCACCCCAGTGGATTATTCTAGTTTTGAGAAAACATTCTTACGTTCACAGTTCAAAGACACGGGTGTGGAATAGAAACCACTATCTTTCTACAACCTCCCACCTAAGGACTATTTCATATTTGTTCTATTCCATCATGAAAGAAAAATCATACTGCAGATTCCATGTTTAATAGGCATTAGTATTATTTTAATGCAAATGTGCAAAGACACCCTCACTAATGTTCAAAAAACTACTAAATCTGTCTACCCCTCTCTTAATCCTGTATTAAAATTTGGAAATGGAGACTCATTAGTATAAACAAACATTAACATGGAACCATGGCCCTTACGTTATATTTCATGGTGTGGAGAAGAAGCAGAGATAACAGAAAGGACAGCAGAAACAGAATGTAGAAGACAAAAATAATCCAAAGCCAAAGAAAAGTGGCGGCCACAGAGCAAGATTTATTCCCTCCAACCTCAGCATGCCAGAGCAAGCATTAACACCTCAACTGATTAAGGAGCAGTGTCAAAAATAAATGTGATGAGCTCTCCCTAACTTCATGCTTAAAGATATCTTTCAGCTCCTGGAACTCTGACACAAGGTTGTGAACGCTTTGGATTTGGTTATTGGGCTATATTAACTAAAGTTTTTTTTTTTTTAAATTCATATTCTACAATTTAAAAGAGAATACAGATTTCATTATTTGTGTTTTAACAATCTGATCAAATCAATAATTCAGCATAAGCCATTATGAAAAAATAGTTTAATGTGTAAAAAAAAAAAGTTATTTGTCTTATAGTTTACATTGGCTTTGGAAATTGATGATATCTTGAGATTTTAATATACTGTCCCATCCCAGAAAGAAAGCATGGATGTTAATACCAATAGAAAGGCTTTTTTCTCTCAAGTTTCCAATCTCTTTACGGTAGAGGACCACCACCATACATAAACCTCTCAGTATCAATTATATCAACAGTAAATACAACTCTCTTTCAAACTACTTGAAAAATAATAATTTTAATTTCATTTTATATAATTTTCCCAAGTTACTGTTTCTTCTCTAAAGTTAATAAAATAAAATGCAATTCTGAGAAGAATATATCAGATTAAGGAAACACAGAAAAAAGTATTCTTAAAATAGATATTAAATTAATTCATAAGAAGGTTAATACAACATGTTCTATTGTTAACTTTTTTTTAGATCCCAAAATTAAGTAAATTGGCTTCTAAAACGTTCTCTCTGCTAGTTGGTATATAAATGCAGTTTACCATTATGCTTGAAAATAAATCGAAGACAGTGACATTGCACAAGTGGAAAACAGTGTATTATAGAAAGAGTATTATATAGGCAATAATTAAGCAAACATTTTATCAAAATGTTAAACTATAAAGCTGTACATGATCTGGGTAAGACATCTCTTGTTGTTGTTGTTGTTATGTGCCGTTGAGTCAGATCTGATTCATAGAGCCCCTCCTTGGGTTTCCGAGGCAGTATCACTATGGAAGTAGATTGCCCCATCTTCCTTCCGAGGAGTTGCTGGTGGGTTTGAACCGCCAGCCCTATGGTTAGCAGTCTACTGCCTTAGGCACTATGGTCCCAGAGCTCCCAAGGCATCTCTTAGGAGGGCACCAATAAAAGCTCTTGTTTCAAAGAGGTGACATAGATCAGGTAACAGCAGAAAAGAATCATATGTCACGATATGTCACTTTTAGGAAGAATTGGCTTAGAAGCCTCATTTCCTAAAATACCTACATTTTCTGTGAATTCTGAGTTTGGATAATTTGAAGCATGATTTCAGCCTGCTAAATAAAAATGAAGTGATCTGTATCTTGTAATGTACATTGTGTTTAGATGAAAGATAAAAATCATCAGAAGTATAGTAACTCAGCAACACAGAGGGAAATTTTTAAGTTGGATAAACAAGGCTTTCTTTTTCTGGAATAAAGGTATAACATCTGCTTCTATCTCATCAGGTCCACAGTTGATGGATCCTGATACAATGGGAGAAAAATGCAAAACAGAACAGAAATTCTCTAAAACTCAAGACTTTATGGACCACTTGATACTGGAGGACTTCCTGAGACTATTGCCCTGAGATCCTCTTTAAACCTTTAACCAAACTATCCTCTGAAGTCACCTTTTAGTGAAGTAACAGATTGGCACACAAATTAAAGGATATTACCCATGAGTACTTGCTTCATTAAAAAAAAAAAAAAAAAGACATTTATATGAGACCAAAATGTCAACAAGGCCTCTAAAGCAAAGATGAGAAGACAAGGGGCAGGGAAACCAGAGCACTGGAAACAACCAGAACACAATGAAAGACGATGTTGACCCATTGTGAGAAATGTAAGCAGTGCCACTGAAGAATTTGTAGAAACTGTCAAATAGGATTGATCCTAATTTGCTGTGTATTTTACAAAAAATATATTATTTCAAAAAAAAAAAAAAAAAAATCTGTTGGTGAAGTTGTCATTCTGGGGGTTTCTAGATTTCCATACCACTCTCTTGGGGGCTAGGGTGGCAGGACAGGGCCCTCTTGTTTCTGACTGGCTTTTGAAGAACAATGGGGAAGACAGGGAGATAACTAGGTCAAACTGGGTACATTAGAGGTATACTGATTTCTAGAATACCTTAGATTTAAAGAATTTTGGTTTTTCTTTTCTTCACTTTTTAAAGAATTCTGGTGGTATAGTGATTAAAGCATTCAGCTGCTAACCAAAAGGTCAGCTGTTCGAACCCACCAGCTTCTGCTCTGCAAGATGAGGCAGTCTGCTTCCATAAAGATATACAGCCTTGAAAACTCTGTGGGGCAGTTCTACTCTGTCCTGTGGAGTTAGCTGTGGATCAGAATTGACTTGATGGCAGTGGGTTTGGTTTTGGTTTTTTCTTCTCTTTTTAGTACAGGTAAGAATAGTTTTTTTTTTTTTTTGGGGGGGGGGGATGTCCGTGCTAAATTTGTGGAGCCCAAGGGAACACAAAGGAAGAAACATGGAATGACAGCCAGCCAACAAATAAACACTGAGCTTGTTCCATATGGATGGTGATCAGCTTCATAGAATGATGGTGTCTACTTGGAAATCCACAGGTTTCCAAATCTCCATGAATTTTCTAAGCTGATTTTGACTCATAGCAACCCCTCCTTGGGTTTCCGTGGCGTTATCACTATGGAAGTAGACTGCCCAACCTTCCTTCTGAGGAGTGGCTGGCGGGTTTAAACCACCAGCCTTCTGGTTAGCAGTCAAATGCCTTAGGCACTATGCCACCAGAGCCCCACATTAATTATCCTGAAAGGATAATGAGAACATTTAGTTACCACCTAGCTGGTAAGAACTCCTGAGATAAGTATCAAAAAAATTAACATGTATTTATCATGCACATTAAATATACAACATTAGGGAATTTTACTCTCCTGAAAAGATCATAGCCCTGATTCTATTTCAGGGATGAGCTTTATTTACACAATGACTGTGTACCTATCATATATAAAGTAGTCTGTAGAAAACCATGATAAAAACCAAGAGGAGATTATAACCTGGTAAGAGAGAATACATACTCAAATAAATGTATAAATGCCTAACTATATGTAGAAGAATCCGCCAGCCACTCCTCGGAAGGAAGACTGGGTAATCTACTTCCATAGTGATACTGCCTCGGAAACCCAAGGAGTCACTATGAGTCAGAGGCGACTCAATGGCACATAACAACAACAACATATGCAGAAGAAAATTAAATAGTCATCTTTAAGGTTTTCTGAGAGTCTTGTTCTTCTGAGGATCTACAGAAAACTGAAGTCTCAGCTTAGAACAATGTATTTAAGGACACCTCTAAAACATTGCATTTAATTTCTCAGTCTGCAATATCTCCAAATTCAGAGCTCCACTCCTCAAAAGATGGAAGCATTTCATTGGGATAGTGGGCAGAATTTGGGGAAGAATATTCTAAGGAGGAAGAATGGCCTCAATAAAACCAGGAAGTCACAAAGGTGTCCATATTTAGGGGATTGCAAGGAGTCCAGTTTGTCTGTAGGGTGTGACATGTGCCTGGAAGGGGTGTGAAGTGAGACTGAACAAAAAACAAGCTGAGTTAGATCTTGGTAAGATACTAAGACATAGTTGGTGAAGAAGAAGTAATGTCATTTAGGAGTATGTGAAGGGAAGTGTGTGGATGTTTGAAAAATGTCAGTTTTTCGATTATGCCAGGAGCTGGTGGGCTTTGTTAGGTATAATCAACAGTACTAACAGTAGGTCACAACAGGTAAAGGTGTCCTCATTCAATGTTTATGGCTTGAGTAGAAGCCTTTAGGAACAAGAGTGTGAGAAGAGACTGACACCTGCTGGAATATGTTTTGAAGATGAAGGGAAAATGAGGGTGAAAGAGAAATCAAATTTAAAAAAAAGTAATTTATAAATAAAAAAAAGTAATTTAAAAATGGGGAAGAAAAGTAATAATGAGGACAAATTGTGATATTAATGAGTTATGCATGATTAATCAACTTGACTATTTCAAAGGAATTACTGATGTCACACCTACCAATTAGTCCATGATTTGGTACTATCATAGTTTCATGAGGGTAAGATACAAATATATAGTTAGGAGTTAGATAGATGTACAGAGAGATGGAGTGCAAACTAGCTAGATAAAATACTTAAGATAAATTTCTATAGGCCTATTATGAATTGAATCATGTCCCCCAAAATATGCGTTGACATCCTAACCTCTGTATCTGTAAATATGACTA